ATTATATAGTATCTATTGAAATCAATATCCTTAATAATTTCTCTCGAGGAAAAAAGACAGCCGCCCTTGCCATGAATATAAAAGGAGATTTTAATGCTTTATTTCTTTCGGCTGTATTGGAAAGTCTGAATGATTGCAAAGCACCTTCAAAAATATATAAGTGTATCTCGTTTGTGGTAACTAAACGGAACCTTTATGTTTGGGAGAACTCTACAACTCCACAAGTTTATGGAGCAGGAGCGCTAAACTTTTAATTTAGCTTTCAGTAAAATTAGTAAAGCAAAAGAACTCTCTGTAAAATACAGATGAGACTAAATAAAAGCACTATTAGAAGAATAAACTGGTCAAAAAATCAATTTCAATCATTTATAGACACATATAATTATAGACTTCGCTGATTTACACACCATAAGAGACATATTCAGGGATTCAAATATTTGCTCATTAGCTTATGAAATTGTATCAGTATTAACACTACTAATACACAATGAACAGAATGTGACTATATTTGACTATATTTTGACTATATGTTACAATCAAGACAGAATAACCTGGGTTTGTCAGATATGACCTGTCTAGAAGTTAGAAGATCAGTCCATTTATTCGCGAAGCTTAGGACGAGATAAGATTTTTTCGTAAGATTAAGGGTGGAGTATGTCTGCACAATAAAAATGTAGTTTTGAAGTCAGCTAGTCTTGCATAATAAATGATTTTAAAACGAATTGGAACAAAGTAAATGGACAAGAACAGGCACATATACTTGAAATAGTAACTAAAAGTAATAAATAAATATACTTGCACAAGATCGTGTACAAGTTCATAAACATAATTGTTAGCTTTATTTTATTGTAAAGTAGAGATTTATGTATGATCCAAATCAATATATTTAAATATTGAATTGAAATAACCGACAGATTGGCTCAGTCGGATAGATGCCTGGCGTTGGTGGTCGTTTAAGGACCAAGGGTATAAGTACCCTTGGTTCGCGCCCACTTGGCTTGGTATTTTTCCGGCACGTGAGACAATCTGAGCGGGAGGTTTGACGTCGAGGTATAATGATGTGCACCGTCGATTATTGTCCGGTACACACCATTAGAACTCGACTGTCGATAAACCGGTTGTACTCAGAGAGGTTTTCTACAGTTTCCCTCTTCTCTGGCGAGAAAACCCATTGACGGGTGGTCCAGGCGAATGCGAGTACTCCTAATAAAAGTCGGCTGTAGACGCAAATTAGGTTAATATATAGAAAATTTCTAAGTAGAATGGTTATGCTTAATCCAAAAAGTATTTCTCGGGGACTCTTGTCGAAGTGCGTAGGGCCAATAGGGCAGGAGTATAAACAAAAAAAAATGTTGAATTAAAATCATTAGCATCAAATCCCGTACAAGAATTTCGCTATTACTCGCAACTGCTGTTTTTCTCAAATATTCACAAATCTCATCGGGGATTTCTGCCAAGCCGATGCCGTGATGCAACATAGTCCTCTGAACAACAAACACCCAAACGAACTCTTCAAACTCGACCGTTGAGATGCTACTCATATCACTTCTCTTCCTGGTGTACTCTCCTCCGGTCCTCAATGATCGGAAATCATTAAAACACAAGTTAACCAAAAACAACAATTTACTAATAAAAACTAAAACTCGAAATAATTAACGAATACTCTACAAAATGAATTAATAAAACTCTCAAACATCTCAATAATAACACTCGTCAATTCGCGTCGAGACTTCTTCGAACTTCGCAAGTAAGTGTCGATCCATCCGATTGTCCCGGGTAGGCTTTCTCATTTTTAATTCATTTCCTTCTTTTTCCGTCGCAATTTTCGGGAGAACCCTTCTTCCTTATCCCCACGAAACGGCACCTAAGAGAGACTAGGAAAGAGATATTGACCATGTGACGTATGCTGACAATTAATCATGCGCAAAATCATTCAAATTTAGATTTCACGAAAATCACAACTCCTCACACGCTGATACGAAAGAAAGGTACAAGAAACAAGGCAAACACAATTCAAGGAAAAAATTTTAACATTGACTCTAAGGACTCTTCGCTTTCCCTGAAGACTATAGTCTTCCGACAGAGAAGGGGAGAGAGAGGGGGGTTTGGAGAACGAGGACGGGAGGAAGAAGAGAGGACGGGAATGGGTCCGACAACATTAAATTGATATTTTGGAATGTTTCGGGGTTAAATAATAAGGAGGAGGGTTTTTGGAGAGACTTGGAAAAATGGGATGTAGTATTTTTGTGTGAAACTTGAGTGGAAGGGAAGGGTTGGGAGTCGACAAAGAGAAAATTGCCAAAAGGATACAAATGGACAATGCAGGAAGCAAAAAGAGATCACGTAAAGGGTAGGAGTTCAGGAGGAATGATATCGGGGGTAAGAAACAACATTAATGAGATCACAGACGGAGAGAAATGGATGAAAGAGGATAGCATGGTAAGGAAAATAAGGGTGGGAGAACAGAATTTAAATGTGGTGGGGATCTACAGAAGAAGGGGAACAGTAAGGGATGGAGGACGGTAGAGGAATGGATGGAGAGAGGGAAAGATGAATTGATTATAATAGGAGGCGATTTTAATGCATGGACGGAAGAGTTGGGTGGGGGTTATTTGAATGGGGGGGAAGAAAAGTACCAAAGGAAGTCAAAGCATAAGGTGATAGATAAGGAGGGTAGGAAAATGCTGAGTATAATAAGTGAGGGAGGGTGGTCGATCTGCAACGGGTGTACGAGGGGGGATAGGGAAGGGGAGTTTACGTTTGTAGGAAAGGGGCAGACAGTAATCAATTACGTCATAGCAGATGATAACGCGAAAGAGTTAATAAAGAAAATGGAAGTTGAAAGCGAGACGGATTCTGGACACTTTCCGCTAATAGTGGAAATAGAAGGACAGAAGAAAAGGGTGGAAAGGAGGAGGAAAGAAACAAGTAGGAAAGACTGGATGGGAAAGTGGGATACCCAAAGATTGATGGAATTTGAAAGGAAGTCCAAGGAGAGAAGTAAAGAGTTTGAGGAGGAAGGGGGGTAAATTATAGATGGGAGATTAATTACATTAAGATAGATTATAATATAGATAGTTATATATTAATATAATTATAATATAATTATAATAATATAAAAATATAATAAAATATAAAATAAAAAAAGATAAATAAATATAAGTAAAAAAACATATATAATAAAAAAAATAATATAAATAAAAGAAAAAAAAGGTAAGGAAACGGGAAAGGGGATGCAAAAGATGGGAAAAGGAAAAAAAGGATGCTATACGGGAGAGAAGAAATGGTAGGGGAAAAGGCAAGGATTTGATGGAGGGTTGGAGTAAGAGAGATGAAGAGGGAAGATGGAGAAGAATTAACGAATCCAGATATAATAAATGGTATAAATGGGTTAAAAGGGAGGGAATACCAAAATATGAAAGGTGGAGTAGAGTATGTAGATTCAGAATGGGTGAAGGAATGAGAGAATGTAAGTACTGGATGGATGAAGAGGAAAGGAAATGTAGAGTACGTTGGTATGAAAGGGAAGACTGGGAGCATGTGTTGGAATGGTGTAACGGAGGAATGGATGAAGAGAAAAGTGTGGCAGAGAGAGTAATATGGATATTGGATGAAAATGGGCAGGGTGAGGGATGGATGAATGAGTTGGAAGTAGCGAGAGAAAGGAGGAAGGAGGGTTTAATATAAAGTCGTAATCGTAGGGTGGGAAATAGAAGTAATTCAGCTGAAGATGCCGAAAAGGGCAAAACGGAACTGGAAACGGAAGCTCTGGCACTGGCTTCTGGTTTGGTATAAGAGTTTGAGATTGTAAATAGTATAGGTAATTTTTAAGTTGAGGTAATTTTAAGTTGCGGTAGTATATAAGATATAATGTAAAATAGGTTAAGTTTTGTATGTAAAATATGGTGTCTCGAACCCTGTACAATGCAGGGAGAGTAAATAAAGTTATATATAGTGGGTCGGGGCTGGCAATAGGTCACCAGCCTTATTAAGCATATTATCATTTTATTTATTTTATATACCTACATATATTGTTTTCTTTTTAAATTTTCTTAATACCAACAAGCAAGCAGATTTCTTAAAATTCCCTATGCAAAAAGAGGAATTTTCGCTTGAACGAACTAAAAACCACAGCGCGGTCTATGAAATTTTCTATTTAATTATACATGGGTTATCCAAAATCTTGAACAGAAACATACACACGATCTTCTACAATTTCAAGAGTATACATGTCATTTTTAGTTATACAGAACATGTACATGTTCTTGTACATTGTCTTTGTTCCAATTCCATTTACATGTTATCTTTTGCTTTTCTTGTGTATGCATATAATCTTGTGCAAGATTTCTCAAATTGGACGAACCATATACATATACTTAAGTATTGGAAAACGTGACCACTGAATAACATGATCTTACAAAGGCTGTCCTATAACTTAGCCAAAAATTATAGTTCGTTTGTTTCTCTAGATAGTTTGACTCTTCAATTTTCTATTGTGCGCGGCGTCGAAGTAAGCTTTTCTCCACTTTTTCTTGTTATATGAAGTCAAGGACTATAAAATTTCTTCACATCCAAGAAGTTTAGAGCCAGAAGATAATTTCTTACAGATGCGAAGACAATGAGAGTTTTGCTTTTAGCGTGAAAATAATTTTTATATTCTCTTCTTGTGTACCAATTAAAGTAGAATAATTTAGGAATTCGCATCTGCTACTGATACACAGGACTATTATAAAGTAGTTAAGAGCTCATTCAAGTATCACTAGGCGGAATAAATTTGTAATGATTGTTCCATAATAAAGCAATAATTATTTCGACTTTGTAGGAACAAGTTGTCCGATTTTGTGAAAATAGACAGAACATTTTTAAGAGGCAGGTTACAAATTCGATGATTAATTATTTTTTGTATGCATTTAGATTGTATTTCGAATTAAAAAGAGATGATCTTTGAAAGAATACTTAAAAAATCTCTCTGGAAACAATAATATAAAACTGAAACTCACCTTACAACCCTCGCAACTTGTGACACCATAGTGATATCCACTTGCTTTATCACCACAGACCTTACACGGAACGAAACTTTTGGCAGGTGTTGAACTGTTTGAATCAGCAGCTGCATAATGTTGTTCTGCAAAAAGACACAAAGTTTAAATAAATTAAATGTTGTTTCTCAATACATTTTCATAGGAATTGGCAGAAGTTTTAAGTCGTGTAAATAAAGTATTTGGAAATATTGAATCTAAACGATTGCCTCCAGACTCTATTGGCATCAGTCTGGATAAAATGCCCCCCAATTAAATGAAATAAAATCTTGTACTCTTATTCTATAAAATATAGCAAAGATCTTTATTGAAAGTGAAGATTTGATCTGCTTATATCAAGGATATATGAATAAACTATACATTAGAAAGCGTTCCACATAATGTAATCCAACAGTTTCTCTTTCAGGATATTTTTAAAAAGATTTTCTTACAGCTTCAACTTTAGTCCTTAAACACCATTTACTTGCTGCTCTTATATTACTTGCTCTTATACACGTGGTTGTATATCCATAACGTGGTCGCAAATTATAAGCCCCGTTGACCTTTATGACTCACACTGGTGCAAATAGAAAGTCCTTAAGCTTAAATCGCGATCAATAAACATGCTCATTGTACTCCCTGTACATGTATACGTACATGCTTTTACACGTACAATTGATAAATTTTGTGAAAGTCTAAGACAAAAACTTAAATAACTCATTTATATTAAACAAATACTCAATCTAATTAAATGAACGCGTTATAAGAGCAAGGAAAGTCTAAACACAACATTTTATAACAATAAAACTAGACAATTTTCTGAAGCCCCGACTTTTTCATTTGTTACATAATAAATTTCTACAACACTTCGTACAGAAAATTTTTAATCATTTTCTATCATAATTTACTTCTCTAATTGGTTAGGTATTAAAATCCAAGTATGCCTTCTTATTTAAAAGTTTTGAATGTTTCTAAAAGATTGCTACGATTTTGACCAAATTCTGTTAAACGTATGCATTGCATATTCCTAAAAAAAAAAGATTTTGGAGATTTTTAATTCCCAGATTTGTTATTGTCGGGAGATGAATTTAGATAAAATTCAATATATTTAAACAGACATTAGAATATATAAGTAGACAAATTTGAAATCAGTGTAAAATTTTAGTTCTCACTCATCCGGTTTGAATCGTAAGCGAATGTAACTACGATGGTACGGGGTACAGTTAACGGTAATTCGAAGGTGAATGCTCGGGCAAATTGTGCATTATGATGCATGTACATTTTTACTCTTACCTAAGGCATAAGTGAATAAACCATTGCCTATTAATTAAAAAGATGTAATACCCGAAAATTAATTAACGAATTAACTTTTTCTTTTTAAAAAATATGTCAGGGATGTCACAATGATTTCGTTTTTCCTTAACTTTTCCACTGATTTCCAGGCAGAATTTTAAGTTTTTCCCTATTGCTTATAAAAAAACAACTCAAGGGGAGTTCAATTATAAAAAAGATCATTTTTAGAAGCAAAAATTTAAGTCCAATTACTTGTTTTCAAAAATCCAATAATTTAAAAAAAATAAAATATTTAAAAAATATTTTTTTAATATAATTTTTAATACATTTTTTTAATTTCAAATTTAAATCTTTTTAAAATTAACTGAATTAATAAAAATTGTGTTTGTTATTCTTTCAAATTAAATGATTTTCGATGCAATTTAGAACCTTTAATGTTGCTTTCTACACTATAACAAACTATAACTTTTTGTAAAATAGTATTATTTTATTAATTATTAATTATAAAATTAAAATTCTTTGCGAAAATTCTATATTTTTAAAAATCTCTAATAAAATTTGTTAACAAATTTAATTATTTTAAATTCATTTTCACCAATTAATTTATCAATTATTCTTTAATAACAAGTATATGGAGTGTATAACTCCTTTTTCATTTTAAGCCAAGTATAATAAAGTAAAGATTTCCTTCTTCTTTACTTTAAGTATCTTTTAAAAATTGAATTAAAATTTATCAGAAGCAAATTTTTTCAGAATGTAGATAAAATTATTTGTGACACGCTCCGATGAAAGGTAACTTAGAAAAAACTATTTTAAGATTATGTTTGTGTTATCTTTACATTAATTAAAATTTTCTATATCTTTAAAAAAGTGAATTAAAATTTTTCATAAGCCCTTAAACTTTTATAGAAACATTTACTCTTTAGAGCCCTCGCAAGAAACCCAACGAGAGAATTTTGTTGAAACTTGTTACTCGGAGGTTTTTAGGGTCGCTGATTACAAATCTGAAGTCAGATTTTCAAAATTCAAAATGGCGGATCCAATATGACGAAATTTTTTTTTTAAATTGCTCAAATTTCAATAAGCCTTGTTACTCGGTTAAACGCTATTTTTTATAAATATTTTACCTACTGTTTATAATAATTATAATCGTACTATGTAATTTTCTGTCTAATTGTTTAAATTTATAAGAATTATGTCATATTTTGTAAGTGCACTGCAAAAACAAGTGTCTTATTTTGAGACGTTTTGTCCTCATATTTGAAACAGATATATGTGTCTCATTTTAAGACGTTACAAAGTGTCTCAGATATTTAGCACTTCATTTTGAGACAACGATATGTGTTTCGGGTATCCGTTTCACAATAGTAAGAAGACGTTTTATGTGTCTTATACGCATTGAGTCACCTTTAATGTTTTAAAATGAGACACGAGATGAAATTAAATGTCTCAACTTAAAAAATTTAAGTAAATAACAATTTTTTTATGTATACATTCAGTTATGGAAAACAACTTTGCAACAAGTGCTGGCAAAGAAGATTATTTTTAATTTCAATTTTCCAGTTTAGTTCCAAATTACATAACTCAAAAAAGTGATAAATGTTTCAAACTATAATATACCAAAGAAAAGCAATTTTTTGGAACTTTAATCACGTTATTTATGAGATTAACAGGTATGATATATATGATGGAATAATGAAAATTTTCATTACTATTAATGACTCAATGATAATTTTTGACAATGATTTTTTTTATTAATATACAATTTACCCTATATATTGTAAAATTTGTACCTGATTTTCTCTTAAATCAATATTCCAATTAAAAATGATACAAAACATAAATAAAATTTATGACGATTGTCTTGCGACTACACACATTTAATTTATTTTAATTTCAGTAAAAAGTCTTGTTGGAATAATTATAGTTTGTATTATGGTACTAAACCAACAAGAATCGTATGGAAATGGGGACAAATACTTGGATTATTCCAAAGAGTATGTAAGTGTCTTGGATACCAGAATAGTTTGTCCTGTGATGCATTATTAGTCGGTTATTTTGGAACACATGTCTCTCACTTATAGCCCGGCAAACTCGATTTCATTTCTTGGAAATAATATCCCCTTTTTTACAATTAAGTCATTAGATATTTAATTTAAATCCAATTCTAAATTTACTACTAATTCGATTTAGTGATCTTTAAGAGAACATTATACAATAGGTTTACAAAATTTTCAAAAACTTCAAATTTTAAATTTAATTTACATATTTGACTTTTATGTGAGAAAATTATTGAAAATTATTTTAATCAGTTAGGTAATAATTTTAATTCCAATTCAAACGTAATTAAAATTTACAAATAATTAAAATTAAAATTGATTAAAAAACTCGAATTATTATACACTTAATTTAAATCTAACTTCTCAGAGACTATTATGAGCACGCTGTATAGTTTTTAATGAATATAAAGTATTTATGAAATTTATAAATAAAGGAATTTCTGTATTTGAATAATAAACATAAATATGACATAAATAAATAATAAAAATATTAAAAATTTATTCAATAATTACTAAGTTAATTTTACTAATTCAAAGCAAATTTTCATAGCTAAATTTGAATTATTTTAAAATAATAATGATTAAGGGGGAAGAAGCTGTTGTAAAATCCCATTAAAATATGCCTTTTTTCGGTACCATTTTCTCAGCTCCAAATGATTATTTTTCAGCAAACTTATTTTCTGATGATTTTATATGTAAAGGACTAAAATCTGATCGTTCGATAAAGCCAAATTTTTATTTTTGAATTTTCAGTGCCATTTTGAAAAAATAATTACCGCCCTCCTGAAAAAATCACATTTTTCCACACTTAGGTACCATTTTCTCGAAAACAACTTAACGGACATGGTTCTCTTTTTTTAAAAAATACTTGTACATTAATGAATTAGTTAACAAAAAAAACCAAGAAAACAAGTAATCATTTTTTCAAAATGGCACAGAAAATTCAAAAATAAAAATTTGGCTTTATCGAACGATCAGATTTTAGTCCTTAAAATTAGCAGAAAAAAAGTTTGAAAAATAATCATTTGGAGCTGAGAAAATGGTACCTAAAAATAGGCACATTTCAATGGGATTTTACAACTGCTCTTTCCCCCTTAATTATTAAGGGGGCAGTCTGGGTCTTTTGCACGTATTTTCAAGAAATTTTTTTTCATAGTGAAATTAAATTAAATTTTAAAATGTTTAAATAAATTTATTTAAACATTTTAAAATTTTTTACATGTTATTACACATATATTAAACTAAATAAAAAAAATTTCTTTCTATATTTTTTGTTGTTAATAGCGAAGAAATGTCGATTAAAAAAAAATCTCGAAAATCTGGTTGACATGATATCTCCAGTCAGAACAGACGGAATCAAAAAACTCAAACGGATTATTAAAATATAGGTTAGTGGTTACAGCCGGAACTAAAATAAAAAATTTTCATTGAAAAATAACAAAATGGCGAACTTTTTACTGTTTTTAATCCTTCTTTTGAAACTAAAATTGTTTAAAAAACCGGTAAAAATTATTTAAAATATGTACATAATCATTAAAAAAAAACCCAACAGTGCGTAAAAGTAACTTTTACGCACTCTTCCAAAAAGTGACACTTTACACACAGTATTCCGTGTGTAAAATTCAATTTTAGAGGTAAGTGTTGCAAAAAATATATTTACAAAATTTTATTTCCAAGCTTATTGAGCAACGTTGCGGCATCATTACACGGTAATATTGACGCAACGTTGCTGAGTAACATTACTGCAATATTGC